AATACATTTGACATTTAACCAGTTTTATTTATTTTCTTTTACTTGTTTATATGACAATTGCCTTTTTTGCTTCAATTAATCTGACATATTAAAGTTTGACCATTTAAGCTGTTTTATATCGATAACTGGTGATGAAAATAAACAACAATGATCTGCTGGGAGCCTCTGAAGTTCCCCAGCTGATCCACAGGCCCTTAATTGTGGAACCACCAGGGTTCTGCCAAATGTTTATTCATCCATGTGTTCAACATGTTCCTGAGGGTTGTAGTCAGGGGCGTCAGCTCCCAGCAGGGCTCTTAGGCTCAGACAGGAGACATCAGCAGGAGCATTCAACAGCAGAGCTGAGATAAAGTCGGAGATCTGACAGCGGATACGGTTACATGTCACTTCTGATAGCTCCCAGCATTCCTGAGAAAATCTCAACCTGTATCTCACTTCAGCTCTTGGTCTACATACTGAGCAGGGATACATAGTTTTTGTGTGTGAGTGGTGGTAGTGGAGGGATTGGGGATGGGTTTAGGTGATGGACTAACATGAAAACACTCCCTATCAGGCTTCAATTAAAACAGGAGCTGCTCTCTTTTGCTCAGGGCTCACAGAGTGCAGATAACACTGAACTCCTGGTTGGGTTCTGCCTTCTTGACTATGAAGGAGCAAATCTGTGTAGTTCACTTCAGTTTTGCCTATAAACAGTTAAACGTATTGGAATAGTAAAAAGGATCACATGTGCAGCATTTAAACACACAATTGCAAAATCCTGATTTGTCTGTATGCCAGAAAATTAAGGTATATTATACAACATAATTTGAGTAAATATGTTTCTTTTGTAAAGTGCCTTTAGACGACACGTGTTGTGCATTGGTGCTTTATAAGTAAACTGAATAAAACATGAAACCATGTTTTGTGTAAAAACGGCTTAAATTTCTGTCCTCTGCAGATTAGTGAGTGTCACTAATGTTTGCTTCCAGGCATTACCAGAAGCCTGTGGCTTATTTCGGCTGGAGTGATGTCAGCCTGTGTCTGACATACAAGGTATGATAGGTTTGTCTAAGCAATTAGTCCAAAGTGTCTGGGTTTTACTTTGACTGTGTTATTGCAGGTTACGGGTTGAATGAGTGTGCATGTCCGTGTGTGTGTGTGTGTGTGTGTGTGTGTGTGTGTGTGTGTGTGTGTTGAGGAAACATTTGGAATCTATGAAGACCCTGGTGGGAATCATTGTAACACAAAAGCTGCTTTTATGTTACATCTAGTTCCTGCTAAGTGGATTTGGTCAAGAGATTTAATTCCACATTCAGGTTTTATTAAAAGTCATGGATTAAAAGGAGGACAAAACATTATTTAAGGAGCATCTTACTCACCTCTTGGTATCGCCACAATGTAACTGCCCATTTGTCTGCTGAAATTGATTGTATCGCCAAAGCAACCTAGCTGATGTGACGCGTAGCTTTCTGTCAAACCTTTGAGCTGTCTGTAAAAGGTTTCAACTCGTTTCTGTTAGAGTGTAACTTAACCTATACTTAATCTTGATCTCTAAATTCTGAATGACAGTTGAGGTTTTCTTATCTACCAACCAGCCAACAAAACCAACCAACCAGTTTTACAGACTTGTAAGATTTGATCTTGGATATTTTATTAGCTGGATCTGGCTGCTTCCTTTATACCTCCCCAAAAGTCCCTTTTCTAGCTGAACTAGAGTTGTGATATATGAAAACGTTTCCCTCCATCTAAGCAATAGGCAGGATAATGGACTTAACTCCCTTCTCTTCAACTCTTACTATTGAGCCTTTAGTCCAGATCACAAGGCAGAATGCTTTCATATCTGGGGTTATAGTTGAACAGTGAGAGCATTCAATTACTCTCTATGCTTTTAATTTCCTAAATAAACCTTCTGTAATCTGCTCAGTCTCGGACTGCCTGCTGCTGAGTGAGTGAGAGGAGGATGCTGACGAAGCTGACATCCATCTTGGACGACTCCTTTCACACACCTTACCAGCCTGTGAAGGCTCTGAGCAGCTCCTTCAGTGGTAGATGAAAACATCAAGGTGAAATATAGTTACCATATGTCATTTATTCTCACTGACATAAAGCTGTACAACCGGGAATGAGGTCACAAAGAGTACTTGTATGTTTTTGTGAAATTTTGAAATTTAAATTCAAACTTGAAGAGACTTACATACTGTCTGTGTTTATTTTTTTATTATTATTATTTTATTTCGAATATGATAGAAGTATAAAATCACACACATGAATAAGAAGTGCAAAAGACACATATTTTGGTACCACAATAATCTTAACATACTTGAGTAGGAAGTAAGAAACTTATCAACTCCTACCTCATGAACTCATACAATATTTTCAGATGGACCCTCAATATTAAATCAAATAAAAAAATAAAAAAATAAATATAGGTTAATTAATTTTCTACTTTATCTGGGTTTACATATATCTAAATATAAACATCCGTACCCACACACTCATATGCATTAGCCTCAATTTGCATATGCACATTTGTGCTAACTCGCCCATATATCTTGTGAAAATGACTTCCTTATATTTCCTTTCAAATTGCATTAAATTTTGAGTTTGTTTTAACTTGTTCCATAATTTTACCCCATGAATTGAAATACTAAAGCTCTTTCATAAACTACGAATCCTTAAGTTTGACTAACCCCTTAAATTATATCCTACTTCTGTTTCAAAAAAAACATGCTCTGTATGAGGTCAGGTACAGTTTATTTGATGCTTTAAACATAATTTGAGCAATTTTATCTTCTACCAGATCTTCAAATTTAAGAATTCTAGATTTTGTACTTTATTGTTCTGTGTATGTTGCCATAACAAGTGAATCCCCTCATACAGGGAGACTGGCTTAGAGCTGACCCAGTTTGAGGTTAAGTCTCTTCAATGTCAGCGTCCATTATAGCCTTATTATCCATTAGGATGTTTGGTTTTATTACTATCAGCATTTTAGAAGGTTAGCTCTCAAAAAAGTTCCTCTTCACTTCTTTTTAAACGTTACAACAAGGTTCAAAAGCACATTAAAATAGTCTTGTGTAACTTTTCAACACTCATGTTTGGATTGAGATTAATTCTTCAGATAATTACTGATATCACACTGCATTATTAAAATACAAACTGTTCATACTTCCAACTGTTATTCGCCTGTAGAAAAGGCTTTATCTCCTTATGTAAAAGATGCACAAATATCTACAAGACAAATTTGAACTTAATTTAGAATGTATTTGAATGATTTGGAATCAGTTTGTATTTCTGGTTTAAACTGATTTATTTTGTGAAGTGCCTTGAGATGGCAGTTGTCTGAAATTGATGCTAAATAAAGACAATGAATTAAACTGAACTGAACTACAAGAGTTTAATTTTTATTTAACCAATGATTTACAATCTGCAAACTAAGAACGTTTTCCAAAATTATTTGAAAACAAAAAAGTTTGTCATGTTTTTTCCTGCAAACATGACAGAGGATTGAAACCTCCTAACCCTTCAATTCTAGGCTGACATTCTTTTACTGTTGAGTTTTTACAGGTGCTAAAATAACCAAGATCTCTGTCCAGACTTAAGTATGTGAGAGTGATTAGTGGCTGACAAAAATAACAGAAGACCATGCATGCAAAACAACGACACAGAGGTACAGAATCACAGCAGCTTCTCCCACTGGGCTGTTAGAGCCTCACTTTCACCACTCAGATACCGACTCACCTCTTCTCCCTCAACCCCTAAATATCATCTCCACTCTGCTCCTTTAATCACCTCCCTCTGTATTCCTTTTGTAGTTAACAGCAGTTTTTCATGCACAGCAAAAATGGGGAAACATCTTTCAAAACAAAAGTGAAGCAATCCATGCAAGCTGTAACTGCGACCACATGCAAGGAATGCAGAGTGGGTGAAAACCAGGTGTCAAATGACAAAAATGCAACTTTTTCTTCTTGTTAACTTATATGTTGTTTCCAGTTTGACAAATCTAATTGGGAATAAATGTTATACAGTGTTGAGAATGTGTTTAACCCAGAGCTCTTTTCTCTCTTTTCTTGCTCATCTGTTTCAGGATGTCTAAGGTCAGATTTTATCAGGCTGACTTGGTAGTGTGCTTTACATCGCTGACTGCTTCAAATCACAAACTGATGGTCTTATGTTTCTTTACAAGACTTTCTGCCAAAGAGCATTCTATTCTTGCTCAGTGAAGCCAGATACTTTTTTTCTCTCCCTTATTTCCCACTGTTGGCCTTCGTTTTACTCCATGTCCGGTGCTATTGTTTTTGGAGCTTCTCTTTCATATTCTCCTAACTGCAAAGCATCGATCTCGTCAGCTGATCTCTCAACGCAATTGATCAAATTTTCTCGACAAGAAGACTGAGCATAGGAGAGAGAGAGAGANGGTAGAGTGCTATTCCTGTCTAATTGTCTGAACTAAAAAAAACTGGTAAAAAAGAGATAATTTAATCGTTTCCTTCTTTATTTAAAGTAAACTAAATTATCTGAGTAAGACTGACTTTAATTTGTCATTTTAAACACTTAATGAATTCAGTTATAGAAACTTAGTAAATTGAGTTGGTTAAACTTTATGAAGACGTAGGATACAAAACTAGCACTGAACTCATTTGTTTCAAATAAAGTCAAAGTAAAAAGTACTGTTAGGTTAAAGATTTGTAACTTTTAAGTTAATTGAACATCAAAAAGTAAGTTATCTCTAAGCCAAAATAATTAAATGAGATTAATGTAAATAAGTCCATAGGATCACTTACAGCCCAAATACACTTTTAGAGTGTTTTGACCAGAATTACTGTCAAAGCAGAAATAAGAAAATGGCTGTTGTAAAACAAAGGAAACAAAGTAAAAGACAACATTTTTCCTGTTTACCTGAAGTTCAGTTTAGTGCATTACTCCAGACCATGATAAAAAAAATAAACAGGACTCCTCCCCCTTACTGTTTTTCTAAGGACACCTCACAGGTTTCACTTTACTAGTGTTTAGACTTCAACAGAATGGCAAACTTGTTTTGTCAGTTTAGCTAATGTTCTTCTGCTTAACATTTAGCAGGTGCATTCAGGACAGTGCTGCTTTCCTGTTATTCTCAAGTTTGTAGAGATCTCATCTTGTGAGAACAACAAAGTGAGTAGTTTCTTATTCTCTCCAGCTTAACGTGTTTGGCTTTAATGTGCAAAATGAAACACATTCGTGTGAAAATTGTTATAGAAATGTTAAGATTTCTTACAAAGATATTCTTAAACATGTTTTATTATTAATTGTATGGTTAGATTGTTAAATTTTTAAAGCAGTTTCTTCAGCTGCTTTTTTTCATTTAAGGTCAAACATGGAACGAATTAAACAACAAATCAGAGATCTGACAAAGAGCGACCCTGCAGCTGCAGCAAGAAAGATCAATCAATATTTAGAACAGATAGATGATATTCAACTCAACATTGGCATCACAGGAGAAACTGGCTCTGGCAAATCCTCATTTGTAAATGCCTTTAGAGGGATAAAGAACAAGGATAAGGAAGCTGCACCTGTTGGTGTTAAAGAAACCTCAAAAGCTGTTGGACCATATTTCCATCCAAACTACCCAAATGTCATCTTATGGGATCTTCCAGGCATTGGTTCGACCACGTGGCCAACAGATGAATATGTGAATAAAATTAAGTTTGACACGTTTGACTTCTTCATCATCGCCTCAGACACTCTCTTTAGGGAAAATGACATGAAACTTGCTAAGGAGATCCAAAAAATGGGGAAAAGGTTCTATTTTGTTCGCACAAAGATCGACCAAACCTTAACCAACGAGGAAGAAAATGAGGGAAACTTCAATGCAGAAAGAACTTTGGCTGTTATCAGAAAAAGATGCATTCAAGGTGAGTTTCACTTCTATTTTAAATGAAAACAATGCTTCAAATTATGTGAACAAGAAGTTCAACATGTTAACATTGTTAAGAAATTGACTGGAATGATGTCTTTCAGCCTTCTTAACCTGTCACTCATTTACATTAAATCATCTCATAAAACATGTAAACAAATAAGCTAAACATTGTAGATACAACTAATTAGAGTTCAGTTCAGTTTGAAATCTAATCAAAGAGTGTAATTTAGATCTTTTTTAATGTAGCCAACTTATTTTAAAGTCTTCAGTGTCTGTTGTTGTGGGAATCAGTTTTATTCTAAATGGCATTGTATCTTGTCTAAAATTCAGGTCTTCAGGAACAAGGATTTGAAGATCCACCGGTCTTCCTACTGTCAAACAATGAGTGGCAGCAGCACGATTTCCCTCGCTTACATGAGACCTTTAGGAGAGAGCTATTTGATCTCAAGAAATATGCACTGCTGTGTGTCATGGCTGCCATACACCTGGAAGTCACAAACAATAAGAAGGAGACTTATAAAGCTGAAATAAAGTATTATGGTGCTGTATCTGCACTTGGAGCAGCTGTTCCAATTCCTGGGCTTTCAGTTGCTTTTGATATTGGCATGATAGTTAAAGCTGTTAAAGAGTATGTTACAGGTTTTGGTCTTCATGCTTCATCACTGCATAGACTAGCTACTAGCACAGGCGTACCATACGATGATCTGAGTTTTAGTATCCAGTCAGTTCTTGCTAAGGGAGAAGTAACTGGAGACGTCATCCTGAAGCTGTTGACCCAACTTGGAAGCACATCTGTTTTATTAGCAACAGAGGAATGGACCCGGTACATTCCATTTTTGGGAATCCCCATAGCATCAGCCCTTTCCTTTACAGCTACACACAGAGCTCTGAATTTCTTCCTTGATGAGCTTGCTAGTGAGGCAAATAAGGTTTACAGGCAAGCTCTGGGGTTAAACAGAACCTAATGGGGAGAGTAAATGTCATTTCATCACACATTAATTCATTTTGTTGAAGAAAAGGCATTTGACTACCTCCAAAATGAATATATATATCACACAATCATAATCTGGCTGCACATCTTGATTGTTTTTGAAAATATTTTATTCTTTTATATTGCTTTGTTACAGCGTTAATTTCTTCTAATTTGCTTCTCATGTTGGAATGCTTTTACTCCACTACTCTGTGAAATAATGAGAAAATATTTCTATTTTTTGATGAATATTTAATGAAGGAATAAACATGAACAATTTTACAGTTTAGAGTGATTATGCTGAAATACAACCACATCTAAGAATATTCCCCCAGTGTGTTCGTGTTGCTAGAAGATGAAGCTATCGGTATCAAAATATAATAGGTCTGAGTAATTAAACAACTCCAAACATAAATACATCAAATTTTAATCTATACACTTCTTGTTGACTAGGAATTTGTCATGATGTCTGGGTGTTTGGTGTTTTTTGTTGTGGGGTTTTGTGTTCCATGGATTCCCCAGGCTGGGAATTGAATCCAGGACCTTCTTGCAGCAAGGCAACAGTGTTGCCACTGTGCAGCCCCATGTCAATATTAAATACAAGAAAATTACGAAATGCTTGTGAAGTACATAGATAAAATGTTGACTAAAATCTGCAAATGATTTACTAATCTTGAAAGCAAAATGATCTAAGTTTTACTGGTTATATGTAAATTAATGATCAGCTCTATTATTCAGTGTGTTACTGCTGAATCTAAAACAAATACTGTAAATAATATTGTATAATTTAAGATGAATAAATGTCTTTGCCTTCCTTATAATCTGACTTTTGTGATACAGTCCTCTGGATCTTGCTGCAAGGACACAGTACTCCTCTTTACCACATAATTCTTTAGTCAAATGTGAGGACAAATGCACACACACGCACAAAAAACATTTGTTTTTCTTCTGTCTAAACCAGAAATACTAGTCTCCCTTTTAGTAGCAACTGAACATTCAGATGAGATCTGTGATAAAGAAAACCAATGCAGGTAATGAATAGATTTGAAACTATTTCTGTCATTGGTGTGTTGATAACAAGACTACTGAAATGAATGCTGGGAAAAAGGACAAGGAAGCAGAAAAGCAATAAATCAGACTACATCATTTGACGAAGTAGCTAAACACAGCAGGCAATATATTCTATATTTTTTACTAGTTATACATAAATTATTTTTCAAATCTATTATGCAATGCATTATTATTAATTCTAAAGCACATGCTGTAAATAATATTGTATTATTTAAGATGAATGAATGTCTTTGCCTTTCTTGAAATATTTGGCTTATCATTTTGGGAAGGTTGTTCTTGTTTGCAAAACTGACATAATTCAAATAGCAATGAATTATTCAAAGTTGTTTATTTAAGATGAATCTTCCTTTTTAACTTTTTTTGACTGTGCATCACATAGATGACTTTCAGACACATATCCAAATCGGATCAGTTCCTAACAGTTTAGATTGTGAAAGTTTTAATTAAACCTTTTCCTTAAAGGGTTGTGGAGCATCTTATTCTTTCATCAAGATGAGTCTGATTCAAAAAGAGTAATTTTTATTCCCTTTCATGTTCTAAGAACTTTGGGTCACATTGACACTTATCATGGGTCAGGATGATTCAACGCAAGACCAATTCATTTCAATCCAATTCAGGACAATCCATTTATTTTGATGGTGTAGAAAGTAAAATTTTAAACTGTCTTTTTGGATTGGCTTAGACTGTATTAAATAAGAATTCAATTGAATTAAACCCAACAATCAGTTATTGAAAACTTATGTCAAAAAACAAAAACATGTCAGGCTCCTCCTCTATATGCTTTCTAAGACCACCTCCTTCTGGAGGTTTTCTCTAAAATCCTATTAATTGCAGAAGGAGTGTTTTTGTCTTGAGGAGTGAATTCAACACGACATTATCTGATTGGCATCTAAAAAACCTGTTCAAAAGTGAGTATCTGCTTTATATATAAACATGTTTGATGTTTTGCAGTTTCCTCAGTAAAATAAGACTAGCTATTGTGCAAATATTGTGTTAAGTCAATATTTGTATAGTGATGAGGTGCATCTTGTTGGTAGATTGTGTAATGTTACATAACATGTCAGGGACAGGTTTACATACAAACATTGTTCGGTTTTACAAAAAAACAACCTCAGTGATTTCTAAACTCCAACTAGTTGCACATGTTTACATTTCTTATTTTATTTGTATTGCATTTAAGAGGATCAGAAATGTACAGACTCAAAAATATACATGTAATGCTGCTAATATATCGATCCTATATTGCCGTATTTAACCATACACACTTAACCTTGTGTTGGAATTAATAAAACAGGCAAACGTTAAGATTTTGAAATGGTCCCAACCTAAAGTAAAGTTTGTGGCAGGAAATCAACCAGAAATATACAAGATATATGCTAGAAGATTGGTGATAAATACTAAAACTGCACAATTTCTTAGATTATAAGTAATTAGCTAGAAGAAGTAAAATAAAACAACAAAATATTTGTGCAGGTGAATGTGTGCAGTGCCATAAACTATTTCCCCATACCAGGTCTTTGCTGTCTTTGATTTTTTTGTTATTAAAGTAAATTTGGGTAAATATAAAATCCACTTTTCAAATTGTTAGTTTATTTCTAAAGGAAACTCCCTGTAAGTAATTTTCTCTTGCATCAAATATGTGATGGTACAAAAATTGTTGACAACAGTTGGCAAAAAGTATTGCATCACTGTGAAGTCCAGTTTTTCTTAGCTCCCTAAAGAGCTAAGAAAATGAATAATCCTGGGTCATCCAACCTTTTTCTTATGCTGCATGACCCAAATCTGAATATGTTTGTGAACATTTTAAATCATACTTTACTGACTTTGTTTTTAATCTTTCCCTGGCTGCTTTTTTAGATTGGGACATGATATGTTGTTCTTTCAGACCTTTTAGCTTACATCAAGTTCTGTCTTAGCGATTTCTTCACTCTGCTAGTCACATAAAAATCAGGCAGTGTGGCATATGAAGCTGAACCAAAAGTTTAGCAAATAACATGTAACTCATGTTTTGACACGAGGGTTCAGTAAAATTTTAAATAGGTTAGCTTGAACAGCTTTTTCCAATAATAAATAAAATCATCACTTGGAAATTGCTATTTGTATTTTCTCATTTTCTCTTTCTCACATATATATGTGTGTTTGATAGTCTGAAACATTCAAGTGTGACAAAAAACAATATAGAACACATTTTTAAGGGGATAATGTTTCACAACGCACTTTGGTGAGTCTGTCTGTGTTTGTGACCCTTTGTGGATTAGATAAAATCCACAAAGTTAAAACCCATAAATTAAACTTGTGCACCCAATTCATATTTGTAACTTGGGCCATGATTCTCACATGAATATTAAGTCATTGGTTTGTTACCAAATATAATATTTTAATGATTTTAAAAACATGTTTCTCTTCTATTTAAGGTTCAACATGGATGGTCCACTTGATCGAGAAATACATGAACAAATTCGAGCAATGATGGAAACTGACCCAGCTGCTGCTGCAGAAAAGATCAGACAATGTTTAGAAGAGACAGATAACATTCAACTAAACATTGCCATTACAGGAGAACCTGGTACTGGTAAATCAACATTTGTCAATGCTTTTAGAGGGATACATAACAATGATGAGGGAGCTGCACCTACTGGTTGTGAAAACATGACCACAAATCCCACCTCATACCGTCATCCAGACTACAGCAAAGTCATCTTATGGGATCTTCCTGGTATTGGTTCGACCATGTGGCCGGCAGATAAATATGTGGAACGTGTTGAATTAGAGAAGTTTGACTTCTTTATCATCCTCTCAGCTGATCGGTTCAGGGAAAATGATGTGAAACTGGTCAAAGAGATCCAAAAGATGGAGAAGAAGTTCTACTTTGTTTGCTCAAAGGTCAACCATAATTTAAGGGATGAAGAACAAAGTCAGATGGATTTTACAGAAGAAAAGACTCTGAAAACAATCTATGAGGACCGCGTGAAAGGTGACTCAACAGTTTACACAGGAAATGTATCAGAGATATCTTTACATCTAATTTTGCTAACATTTACAGGCACTGTAAATTTTAACTAAAGTAATGTTTACATGTCATATATCATTTGTTTTCCAAATAAATATTGTTGTGTCCTCTCTGTGCCACAGGGCTGGAAGAGCTGGGACTCAAGTCTCCACAAGTTTTCCTTCTGCTCAGCCCTGATGTCAGCCTGCAGGGTCTGAAGGAATTAAAGAGCACGTTCGAGGAAGATCTTCCTGAACTCAAGAAGCATGCTCTGCGTTTGACCATGATCATCATTTACAAGCAGGTTTTAAACAATAAGATAGAAAACTTTCTGGCCAAAATAAAATATTATTGTATTATCTCTGCAACTGGAGCCATGTTACCAGTTCCACTGTTTTCTGCTGGTGTTGATCTGAGCTTGATATGTTTAGCATTTAGACAGTATCTTGTTGGGTTTGGCCTTGATACTTCTTCACTGAACAAACTAGCTGCTACCACAGGCATATCATGTAATGATGAAATTACCAACCTAAAATTCAAGAACAAGCTTTTAAAGAGCTCTCTTATCTCAAAGGCTTTGATCCATGTTGCAAATACATTTGTAATGGCATCAAAGAAAGAGGGTGTTGTTTCAATGTCAAGAATCCTAGTTGCTCCTATACTGTCCTTTACAACAACATATGTTGCTCTAAATGTTTTTGTCACTGAGTTTGCTGAGAAATCACACAGGATTTTCAAAAGGGCTCTGGGTTTGAACACATAGTGCTAATGCTACAGAGATGGTTCATTTAAAGCAGGTACAATGAAATCTGCAAAAATAAATATGTAAAGTTAAATGCTAGATCAGCTACATTTTCTTTTTTGTCCTTAGATCATATAATGTAACATGTCATAAAGCCACAGTGTGTGAAATACTGCCATCTTGTGGAATATTAGAAAATTGCAATTTCTTCAATATTTTAGTACTCCGTAGCTTACATGCAAAAGTTGAAATTTGGCATGTATTGAGTTGAGCAACTTTTAATTAACTTTGATTTGTGAAGATAAGAAAACTATTCCTTCTAACAATTTTCTCATGATAATGAATGACTTTCTATTTAAGACCTCCGATTATTGCACCATAATGATGAGGCTTGTTTTGAAGGGGAAGAGCTGAAGCCTGAAACATTCATTTGGGAGTGATAATGATTAGCATGATTAGAAATGGTCAACTATAAAGACGGCTAATTTGGAGGTAGAGTAAGAGAGAAAAGGTTAAGATTGTTTGGATATGTTCTGATTAGAGATAACAGATACACCATTGAAGGTAGAACTGCCAGGCTCCATCTCCACCATCCTTTCAATATAACTGCACTTCTTCAAAAACTGCTTTGTTTTACTACAGATATGCACAGATCTCAGAAACCAATATAACATGAAATCTCTTTAAATAGGTACTAAAAGAAATGCATTACTTTTGAAGTTTGTATTGCTCTACACTAAAATATAATTTTAAGTGTTGTATTTAATGTTTGGTCTTGATTGTGTAATAAACTTTCCATTTCTGCACTTGAGAGCTATAAAACTTGTATTTTTTATTTTTATTTTATTGTTTTTTTGGAAGAAACAGTGTAATTATAGAGATAAGAATATAACTGAAAGATTGTATTCTTTGTCCATCTTAAAGCTTATAATTATCCTCAAAATAATTAAAATAAAAAAGTGGGAATTTAACTGATTGAAGTCTTTGCTTAAAACTTAAAGTATGCAGGTGAACTAATAAACCGAAAGTTACGAATGTAACTACGGTTCTATGAATCCCTGACCGTCAGAGATTCTCTGTCACTCAGAATCCTTGCATTTCGCGAGATGGTTCTGTAGGAACAGAGCATCGGATGACGTCATGCTATATAGCCTCTGATTGATCATCCGATAGGTCACAGGTGTGACTGTTGATATTATAGCTCGAACGGCGCATGCGCGAAGGGAACATTCAGTGCTTTCAGCACCGCCCTCTGGCGGTCAGTAGGGATGAAATAGAACTGATCAGTGGTCCAAACTCCTCTTGATTATACAGATGAAAGTAAAGCTTGAATTTCATTTGGATCAAAGGTCCCAGAATCAGGAAAAAATACTTCTGAGGCACAAAATCCACTTTGCTTGAAGTCCAGTGTGAAGTTTTATGTCGCCCGTCTACTTTAAATTTTACAGGACTTTTATGCTTGTGTTTGCTGACATGCAATGAATGAGGACTGCATGAAAGGTGACTCAACAGTTTACGCATGATATGTATCAGAAACATCTTTACATTTAATTTTGCTAATGTTTACAGGCACAGTAAACTTTCATTAAAGTAATGTTTAATGATGAAGACACCAGATGCAACAATGCAGATGAGATGGAGACTGCTTCTACTGATTCTACTGCTCTGTTGTGTTTAGGTTGTATTACACAAAATGGGTGAGTGGGAAACAGGATTTTAATATTAAATATTATTTAAGATTTATTGCACCTTCTCATTTGGAAAAGGACAACTCATCCAAACACATCTAAAGATGCACCTGAAGATTAAAGAGTTGGTTGTTGTAAAAGTTTAGTTCATGAAAAGTCCACATAGTACAACAAAAATAGTTCTGAAATTTTGTGAATTATCACATTAAGTCAAACAACAAAGGCTAGCAAATTTTTATTTTTTGGCTCTAGTGGCCTGTATTTGAATGTGGTCAGACAGGAACGTCTGACCACTAATGAGAAAGACACGTGGCAAAGGTCATCAGGCCAGGAATCAAACCTGCAACAGCTGCATCAAGGACTAAGTTCTTCTTATGCGAGTTATGTGCTAGCCCTGCACCACCACAGCACCCCAGGGTGACAGCGATTAACAAACCAGTGGAATCATATAAATGGCAACAGTATTATTTTTGTTTAAAATGTAACTCGGCTCTAAGACAGTCCTCAATAAATACCCTTCACACTTCTCTCACCACATTACCTCAAAATTTGTTTCAAGACAAAATGCAGTTGCAGAGACAATCCGTTTTTAGGGACATCAGTTTATTTTAACCCTACAAAAGACATGGGGTGAGAAAATAAAATACAAAAATGAAGTTATAGAAACAAAAACAAAGTGGGTTCATTCTTGTACAAGTCTCAGAATTATCCAAACATGGACCACAGTTCAATTATTCATATTTTTAATATAACATTTTGCTGTAATGCTGTGTGTACATACAAAATATACCAAACTAAATAAGGCAAATAAATAGAGGTACAATGTACAGGAACAATGGAACATTCCTCAATGATTTCATCTTTTTTTTTTTTTTAATCTTACCTCAAACATCAACAAAGGTGTACAAAATGCTTTTCTTTTTTTCCAACTGTACATCTTTCAGTGGAGCATTTTTTTTTTCTTATTTCCAACTGTAAAAAATACTGACTTCTCACAATTATACAAACTCGAAGAATGGGTGCAACTTTTCTCAGGCAGTACAGACTGTGGTGTAACAGGTGGGTTGCATTCTACAAGCAATGTTCTTTTAAATGATCAATAAATCATACTTTGTGCAACCTTCTATCGGCATGCAGATCAACGTCATGTGCATGTAACAACAAATACTGTGGAGACAGAACCCACCCAAAACCCCTAAGAAGTTTTTTTTTTTTTTTTAATGATTTTCCACATCCCGTCCCTGCCACTCACACTGACTGTCAACTTGTTTGACGGCGGTCCAGCCAGCATCCTTGTCCTCACTTTCCATTCTTCTCTCTGCACGCCTTACTTTTTAGCAACACTAATTTGCTGCTGCACAACTATCGTCTTCAGGAGGAGCCAAGTCCTCGAAACTGGTGCTGCAAATGGAAATGTCCCATCATCATCATCATCATCATTATAAAAAGTGCATTGAACAAGCTACTAAATTATTTCCTCTGATTTCCATCTTTACACTTCAAAACAGCCAGTCAATGGCCAAATAAGCATCCAAACATGTAACAACACAAACATGTATTAATACTGACAACTTTTCAAATATCCCTTGGCAAATACTCTGCACTAAATGGGTTAAAGCTCTAAATGAGGAATTTAGAAATGGTCTGCTGAAGTCGGGTACACTGACTGATTAGCTGCAAGAGGAAGGAGAGCAGAGGTTAAAAAAAAAAGAGATCAAACATGGATTAAAATGCTGGTTTAAGAAGAGATGATTCCTCTTTTTTAATTTAAAGTGTCTAAATAATTTGGTGTAAGGGCTAATCTCTAGAGATTGCATCTCTCTGCGCCATCTCAACTTCACATCTGGGTCTTTTTAGTCTGACAGAAACGTAAATCTATTAAGTATGAGGTGTCACAGTGAAAAAAAAAGAGGATAAATTAAAGCTATGGGGGATTATCTGCACATTATACAATCAATCACAGCCAAAGGAAAAAAAATAATAATAATTTAGAGGCGATTTCTGTGGTACCTGGAGCTTAGGTTGACCTGCAAATCAATTGTACCATCTTTGACCACGAGATGGCGCCAGTTACTGCAAACCAAGTATAATTTAATGACCATATAAAACAGATTTCTGCAAAGCCACAAGCACTAAAACAGAGGAATGGTTTGTGTGGAAAAAAAAAAAAAAAAAAAACAGGATCTGAGGCACTTATTGGTGAACATTTACAAACATTTAGCAGATAAGATGTAAAAATATGGGTCAAATGGAAAGGCCTTCGTTTAGTCCGTTTTTGTAGTTGAGCACATGGATGTATACGGTTTTCATTATATATAAAGTGGGGATATTTATTATCTATTACAAATAAAATTGTAAACAAGTGGGTCTGGTTTATTTTAACCGTTGCTACGGAAACAACTGCTTCTGTGTTCCAGCAATCTGAATATGCGTCTCTTGCGACGTCTGAACAAAGTCAAGGAGTTCAAACATCTTATTCCCACAGACTGATTGCAGTCTTGGATGCCTCACAAACTGATCCTTGCTGGTTATTCAAACCTAGACTGTAAGAAATGAGGAAATGTCGTGGTTTTTGAGCTGGTTTAGATATATGATGATCTAGATCTGGTTACTGTATCTTTTAGACATAGATCTACATATTGCAAACAATTCAACCCACCGTTGCAACTTGCATCATTCCTGCTGCTGAAGTTTTGGAAAAGCATGTGCAAATAATAATAATAACCCCCTCCACCTCCAAATTAAAACTGGAAAATCTTATGAAGGCAAATAAAGCTAGCTTCTATGTTTTTTTTTGGAAACCAGTAGCCTAAAATAAGTAAGCATGGAGGCTTTGTGTCCGGTTGGTATCCAGTCAATTTAGTCTAATTTGAAGTGCCTTGCTACCCCAGTGTTACAGAAAAAAAAACAACAAAAAAAAAAACAACAAAAAAACTGCCACCTTACAAGGTGAGGTCTGAGACAAATGGGGGATTCAATGATGAAAATAATGAAATACTACAGGCAGATCTGAGAATAAGTAGCTACAAATAGGGACAATATCGTAACCGATTAAAGAGGAATTCTCCATTAAGTTTGTTTATGGCATTCCTTCAACCGTGTTTTTTGTTGGCTGGAGTTTAAATTTTTTGTTAAAAAAAACCCCAAAAACACACACAAAACAACTACAGTGCAAACAAGACATGAAGGAGTGAAAAAGGATGAGCAGTTACCTCTCATTCGTCAAGCACAAAAATATTTAGTAAGTTAACTTCAACAGCAATGTGAACCTGCAACACCATAAAAGAATGCATCGTGTACAAAATCCCAAAATGCTGAAACATAAAAAAACCCCAAACTTCTACATCTTTGCAATTAGCTTGTCTGCATCTAAATATAAATATATATCAACGCCTAATTGCAGAATATTTAGTGTAAATACATTTACATTGGTTTTTCTTTTCTGCTTTGACACTACTTAATGCCAGAAAGACTTTCAAACCATTTACACATGTTGAGGCTTAATTATTGTGGCACAATCATTTGTATGTGAGGAGGAGTTTTTTTTTTTTTTTCCTGTTATTTCCTAGAAAATTTGTGGTTGGTATCTTCTTGGGGATGCGGTGTGCCATCAGAAGCCACTGGTAAGGATTCATTATTATGAAGCAACAGGAGATTTCTTGAGTCCATACCCGTTGTTTTAGTGTCAGAGGTTTGCGATCGTAGATCCATTCTGTGGCTGCAAAATCTGGTTTTTCTCAGGGAAAAAGCACCATAACTGTGGACGTAATGGCTTAGATACCCTGCCTGCCCCACACCCCCCGTCTCATCTATCTTTTGTGTTTTTATTTAACCTGCCAAGCTTCACAAGTTTCCAAACTTTCCATTTGGTGTCTATATACAACGCGACTGACTAATCCTAGAGTTCTGATCCCGATAACCAAACTTCAGCACCAAAGAGCTCTCAGAAGAACAGAGAAGGTTTCTGAGGAAGAGCAGGAGTGATCGACAAGGAGAACCTGAAGAACAGTGTCCAATGGATACAGTTAGATGACGTGGGACAATGTGTCACAGTGGTCTGTCCGTCCTTCCATCCCAACTGTGGAGATAAACGGGTCGGAAACAGCTTTAGAAGACCAATCCGAGGGGAGAGCTGCATCTTTTGAGGCAGCGAAGCTGTCCATGGATGTCTCTACACGTCCAGTCCAGCTGTTGCTAACATCTGCTCCAAAGGAAGCCGTGACTGTCCAAAGCTCTGGGTTAAAGTTGATCTACGTCACGGCAAATTTTAGATCTCTAAAGTTTTGCTTTTCTACTTCCTTTTTCCAACTTTAGTAGTTCACCTTGGTGACGGCTCTCTCTCGGCCGCCACCTTCCACTAGCTGGTTGACGGAGCGCTTCCGGCTTCGCTTGAATTTGTTAAGGTCCTTGTCGAAGACCTCGCCAGAGCGCAGCGCAGAGACGAGGTCGTCAAACTCCCCGCCGACCTCCTCCGTGGCCCCGCCCTTCTTAGCCCGCCGCTCGCGCTCCCTCTGCTCCTTCAGCTGAATAAGGATTAAAGAAACCGTTATTGTGAAGAAGATGAGAGCAAATTTAGTCGGACGTCGCCTCTGAGGAGAGCCTCACCATGGCCTCCATCCGTGCCCTCCGCTCTTCCTCCTCCTTGCGCCGCTGCATGTTTTCCAGGTCCTGCCGAGCTTCGCTGAACGACTGCAAGAAGGTGTCAAAGATGCCGAAGAAGTCGTCAGGCTGCATCCTCCCTTCTTCTTCTCCAAAGTGCTTCAGAGATTTGGCGAACTACAAAGACAGATTTTGGATTTTAAGGTAAGGATGAATGCACAAACTGAATCTTCTGACCCAGATTTCCCAGAATCAACCCAATCGGTCATGCATATGCACGCCCTTCAAAATAAACTCTGGTATGTGAAATTCATTTTCTTAAATGCTGCAGGAACACACACATCGGAGCAGGGCTGCTTGATTTGACCACCGTATGTCCACACAGTCCTGTTCAAGCTGTTCGGTGCTTGGCGCCAGAACGCCGCCCGGAGCCAAATGTTCCGACACAGTCGGCTCTGTTCTGCAGTACAGATACGTCTTCAAGTAGAAATAACTTCGGTCCACTTTTCTTCAGTCAAGTTCTTAAGTCTTAATATGTAAACAAAAATGAAAAATAAATATTTTCTCATCAGTTACTAGTTTGTTGGCTAATACAGAAGCTAGAAATAAAGATGCGTGCAACTATAACTTCATACAGTTTTTATTTTTATGTTTTAAAATTACTTTTATTTATTTCTTTTGCTTAATTTTTCCCCCCATCCTACAATAGAAAGTATGTTAATACCAACAGTTTTACCAACTGGTGGAGGGTTGAGTGTGCAATTAGCTTTTAAAGGTAACAGAACAATGGCCCCAGTAATGAGCTTAATAGCAAAGCACTGCTAAGAATTGGTTAATTTAAATGCCATGTTTGAGTTTTCACCTAGTCTGTGGTGAGACTTGGATCATTTTTATTGCCACTTGCTCATTTTACAACTTGGGACTTTTTTTTAAAGGTATTAACAGATGAAAGAAATACAGATGTTAAATATAAATCTATACTAATTAGAAGAAAAGCTTCCTTCATCCAAAATGTTGGAGGAAATTGAGTGACTTAAGCTAGGCAGTAAAATAATCAAGTAGAAAGCAAAGAAATGCAGCGTGCCTTTTCCGCTTCTATGTGAGTGTCGAGTGACAGAACATCTTAAAATCCCTCTTGTTTATAACCGTCTAGTTTTCTGTATGTGGTCTCAGCACTGCGATGAAAAACACAGTTGCTCTTTTCTGAGGAAGCAAAACCATCCTGTCATTATGGGCCCAGTGTCCATGACAACAACCTCACCACCATCCCTCCCCTCTGCTTGTAATTATGTATCTGGTCAGAAGTGTTTCCTCTGGTCCCCCTCGGGATCCGAGCTAAATGGGTAAACAAAAACACTCAATGAACGAAGGAATATGATTTTCATTGCGTCAGGCAAAACAAAGCAAAGGAGTGTCGTCCTCCTCTGAAAGCACTTAGCATTTCTCCACTTAGTTTAGCTACTTCAGTGACTACTCACTAGCTTAGCTAGTTTAGTGACTAGCTAACGTGGTCACTAAACATTTGAGAAAATTTAAGCTTGAAAATACAAAAAGAACACTTGGTATAATAAATAACAAAAGGGCATAAAAATTCCAGGGCATCGTGAAAAATGCTTGAGCTGTATGAACTTACAACATTTCTCCTGAACTTAACTTTCAAATAAAAAAATAATAATTTTGGAGAAAGTTCATAATTAGATATTCTGAACTTTAGAAGTTTAAGATGCATGAAATGAATATTTTAGGAAATGCAATAAGTCAAAATTGTCTTCAACATGCAAATATTTTAATTCATACTGTTTGCATGTAATTTTCAAAAAATAACTTTGTAAAAATAATTTTTTGTTGCAGTTTTTTTTTTTTTTTACCAAATGGCGTCATACTCAATATGACGATGAAATATGAGCATGATTAGTTTTTTGCCTCCATTCCCGTTTTTTTAGTAAATAAAACAAACTTGGATAAGCAGATGGAGGATATGCTTTGATGATTGCTCACTAATCTACAAATCATTTGAAGAAATTATTGTTGGCATGTTCTTACAAGATTAATTAAAGCTTACCAAAGATCTAGAAGTGCCACTTTTAAAAGTTCAGATCTTGCGTGCAGTACAAAAACTGGATTACATTTGCCAAAACATGGATATTTACAGCCCACTTGAGCTCGTAATTTTTGTTTTTAATCTAATTTTGAGTATCCTTCTTGGTCAGAAATAGAGACATAGAAGGTTTTATAGTTTAATAAAATACTTTGCTTTTTTTTTTAAAAAAAAAAAAAAGCCTCTAAGTGGTTCCATGACCTTTGCAACAGTAACTCTTTGTATTGTGCATAGCAGTGCCCTGTTTCTGTAGCAGCCACACACATCTGTTGCCATGGAGTGTTATTAGTCTCTGTGGGCTGATCTGTTTGGTCATCCTTCACCTTCTTAAAGAAGAAACACACATCCCGACTTCCATATTTGTATTACACTGAAAGCCCACCAGGCCATCAGAGGACCTTGACAAACACCCACTTACCAACCACACAGAACATACACAGCTGTGTGTTTGGAGTCTGGGCCGGAGAACACAGGTTCTTTTGTTTTACTGCACTAACTGGTGCCCTATTCTTCCCAGTTCGTCTCCCGTGACGTCCAAACTATGTTCCCCTCCAATATTCACCCCTCCTTGAGCAAATAATTAACCAACAGGGAGGCTCTGCATGAAACCCATGAACCTGGTTTCATGTCTTTTTCTCCCATCTGTCTTGAAACCTGTTGATTCTTCTGAGAAATACAGCTGTTCAGCTCTTCAACACTGTCGTTAATTAGAGAGGATAGACTGTGCAGTACAAATGTAAAAATCTGTGCCGAAGCACTCCGTGAGATTTAGAGGCGTTCAGAGCGCTAAATGCGAGCTGGAGCACCGACAGCCGGCAAATTAAACATATTCCCATAAATCTTTTCAACACCGACTTACTCCAACACTCTCTCCATCCCACTGACGTCTTCAGCTGACACACTTCCTACCATACATCAGTACTTGAGCCAGCGGAGTTCAAAAGGCCAGTTGTTCCACTTGTAAATGGAAAGAGAGGGGATTTAAAACACTAACTTAAAGAGACAAAGAAGACGTGGGAGGGAGGGGGATTCCCGAGTAATCTTTCAATTCTGGGTTTCCCAGCCCGGCTGAAATCGCCCCGCAGGACTCAGAGGGACGTCCAGAGGCTTCACGCTTCTCAGATTCCGCCTTTTTTTTTTTTTTTTTTTTTTTTTTTTTCCCCAGTTCCCTTGACATACAGGCTTTTCAGCGGGGGGGACTGGCTTCGGATCCCCCCCCCCCCCACGTGGACATACGAGCTTTCGCTCTTA